ACAATAATATTTGCGTTTCTTCCATAAATACAATACTTTACATATAGCAAGTAATAGATAAGCATTATTATTATTATTATTATTATTATTATTATTATTATTATTATTATTTCTAACTTTTATTCAGTGTTTGCTATGAGCCAAGTCCTATATTAAGTGCTGGATCTGTAACATCTCAGTTAATCCACACAGCAACCCAATTAAAGTCGGTCCTATTATCATCGCTATATAAAGGATTAGTATCATCCTTATTTTACAAATGATGAAATCAAGACTCCAGGAGTTGAAGTAACTTGACAGTGCTATAAGGTGGAGTCAATTTGATACAGGTCTGCTTGACTCTATTCAGTCTATCACATTATTCTTAGAGAACCAGTTTTAACATATGTTTGGTATTATAAAATCACCAATTCAGGCCTAAAATTCATTGAACATACATCCTTTGTCACTTAGTGTCTATCAACCTTTCCACCTGATCACGGTGGACTTGGGCACATGGCTCATGGTTTTTCTCTTAACATTCTCTCAGTCCCTTCAATGCCTGCCCATCTCTCAAGCCCCAGTGTCCCCTAAATACTGAGGACCTTAAATCTCTACACCACTTCACCCACCAGCACCCCAATGGTAGACCTAATTGCTACCTGGAACTGTTCCACTTTGGAAATGATCGAAGACCAAAGACCTCTGGGGGTTTTCACTCCTCAATCTGTAACAACTGATCTTTAACCTCATAGAACTCTCCTTTTCTTTTATCTGTCATTTTAGTCCAGTCTATCACTCTTTTCCAACTCACAGCCTGAAATCTGTAATTTTCTTAACAACACCATGCATTATTCTCCTTCTTGGACATCCCCCCAGCAAAACTCCAAATTTGGATCAGTATTATGCTTTTCTCCTTACACTTGAGTGGTTAAATTGTGATGGAGAAAATCACATAATCATGCAGACTCCATTATTACAATTTAACCTCAGCGATGTCCTCATCAATCCTGTGATTGATTTTCAACTTTCTACTCTTACTTTTTCCTAATGACCATTCCAAACCTTCCCCTCCTTCCCCAAGCATCCTTTTCAAATTCTATGCCTTGAGTTCAGTAAACAACCTTCCCTCCAAATTTATCAGGATAACTGAGGGTTTTATTATTGGAGTTTTAGAGATCCATTATTGGCCACAAATTTCTAGAGTTCCATATTTTTCCTGAGGGATCACTTCTACTTTCATGCTATAAGTATGAGTACTACTCTATGCTGCTGATATTCAAATCTGTATCTTCAGCTTGGGTTTATCTATCTAGTGGATGCCTATACGTGTAGGTTCCACAGGCACATCAAATTCAAAAGGTTTCAAATTGAACACACCATTGTTCCTCTAAAACCTGTATCTCCAGCAAAGCATTACTCTCATCCCAGGTACTAGAAGGGTAAAAAGTGTGATCACCACCCACTCAAGCTAGAAGGCTGATGTCATCCTTACTCCTCTTTCTTTATCTTCACATACAATCAGTTTCCAAGTTCAATTCCCTTTTGTTTCTGGAATTTCCCCTCTCATTTCTGTCCTTATTACTATTGTCCTAGTTAAGTCTCTTGATCCAACTGGACTTCAAGGACTATTTGAGAAGCTTCTGAACTGTTTGATTTCAGGCTTGGCCCCCTTAAATCTATCCTCATCACTGCTGCTAGGTGATCTTTCTAAACACAAATTTGACCATACCACACTCCCACTTAAAACTCTGCATTGGCTCTCCACTGCCTACAGGAAAAAGTCACAGCTTCTTGGCAGAAATGCATGACCATCTGTGATTTTGCTTATCTTCTTTCTGCACTGCCTTCACTTACCAACCCCTACCTGGCCCGTTACACTCCAACCACAAAGAAATGTATGTCTTCATTCATAATGTTCCCTCTGCCTAGACCATCCTTCCGCTCCTTCACCTTTATCTGGCCAACTTCCACTATGCTTTAAGGCTTTGTTTATGGGCCACTTCTTTTGGGTAGGTTTTCTTGATAAGCTGCTCTCCCCAACCCTCAAACTCCAGACAAGGTTAGCAACACTGCCCTTGTGCTCCCACGGCTCCCCGCTCTTTGCATAGATGTCTCAGTGTACTTATCCATTTGTGTGCCTGTATTACAACTAGAGTGTGGGCTCTTGGACGCTTGGGATTGTGTTGTATTTCTCTTTTTTTTTTAAGATTTTTTTTTTTATTGGGGAATTGGGGGATGGGAACAGCGCTGGGGAATTGGGAGAAGGGGAACAGACAAGTTGCTGTCCTTTTGGTCTTCAGTCTAGTTGTGGAGTACGTTGCTTCACTGGCCCATGTTGGCACCATCATTGCGCTCTTCCCGGGTGAGGCAGATCAGTCACTGGCTTCTGGATGGCCGCTCATTGTGGCTGCTGACCGCTCACGCTGGCTGCTGGCTACACACGGTAGCCCATGGCAACCTACTGCAGCAGGGGCTGCAGCCTATGCCATGGCCGGCGACTCATGGCAGCCCAGCTCCAGGTTGAGCTGTTGTTCAGCATCTTAGCTGTAGAGGGCAGTGTCACTGGCCCTCATATGTGGGATCCGAACCGGGGCCCTCTGGCGTCCCAAGCCAGCTCTTAACCAACGCGCCACTCAGCCGGCCGGTATTTCTCTTTGTACGTCTTTGCCTGGCAGTGGCATAGAGTAGGTGCTCAACAAATACTTTTAGAGTAAAGTTGAACAAATAAAATGATTTATTAATGAAAAATTATTTTACATCTGAAAAAAACAAGGCAGATAATAAAAAACAAACAGTGTGATTATTTCTGAGGTTTGATTATGAATAACAATATGCATGGTGACACTCAAATGGCATTGTGAATTTCAGGGGGTGCCCAGAGTCAATGGGACCCTAAGAGAGGAACCTGGAAGTGTCTGTAGTGGTGCGGCTGTGGTAGGGGACCGTTAGCATTCTTACAGAGTGCCACAAGAAACCTGCAAGGCTTCCCTTCCATTGACACAAAACTCTCATTTCTGTGAAACCTTCAGTGTTTATAGGACATCTTATTTGCTGAATGAAAAATCATTTACTATACTTTATTAAGAACAAATAGATTCTTAGTTTGGATAACTAAAAAGTGGAACATGGAGAACAAACTCGAGTTAAAGTTCTTTTTTCCCTCCTATAGTGACTTTCTTAGGACCTAATGCTTTCACAAAGATCCTGGATCTACCTAAAGTAGAAAGTTAAACTGTTTGAACACTACCACCCTGTCAAAGCATTTCTTTGTGAAAATCAAGTAAAAAGGCAGAGGGCCTTTTTCTCCTGAAGTTAGGTACTGAGTGTTTTTGAACTTCAAGTATCAGTAGGGCCCCTTTTGTAGTTAAACTAATAGTAAGTAATGATGATTTTTAAAATGAACTGCTAATAGCAATAATTATTATTACAATATGTAGAAGTCACAGTCCTCGAATGGCCACTTTAGTGAGTGGCAGGTGCTTTACACTAAGTATTGAGGGACACCAAAGTTTTGCCACCCCAAAATATACCTTTTGGGATATTGATTTTAAGCTGGTTATTAAGGGGAAAGAAAATAAAAAAACCTCAGAATCTTTGACGCTCCCCCTTCCTGCCTAAAGGAATTCAGACCGAAAAAACCTGCTTCAGGAAAGGAACCTTAGCATAGTCACCATAGCAGATTCACCTTGGCGTGTATGAGTTAAATGTAGCAGAAAGAAAGAAATCTAGCAAAGCTTGTTTGTTGAACTTCCTTCTGTCCCATTGTTCTGGGTCGCCCAGCAAAAATCTGTTTACCACATGGTGTCCACCTGTGAATTACCTGCTTTCCCTTTGAAATCCCGGACCCCTGCCCCCCTTTTCCTTGGTCCAGAATGGCATATAAACCTCAATTGCCCAATGTGTTATCGGGTCTCATATCTTATGGCACCCCTTCATGTACATCCCTGATAAACTGTGGACATTCCCTTCTGTTAATCTGTCTTTGTTAAACTTGATTATTAGCCCAGTAAGAAGAATTTAGAAGGTGAGAGGAAAAAAAAAATTTTTTTGCGCTCCCACAGTATCGTATTTATGCTTCAAGACAACCTGTTAAATAGAAATTATTTTTTTCCCTTTTTATGTGTGAACAACTGAAGTTCAGTGAGATCAAATAACTTGGGGCAAGTCCAAGGATAAGTTGGTCAGACTCTGGGGCCAAAGGCCAACACCGGTTTCACCAGGACGTAGCCTCTCTCCCAGTTTCTGAGAAATTTTGTTGCCAGCTGGCGTGACTGTGAATGCAAGGGGGTTGGTTGGGGAATCAGTTGGAACTGCGGAAGAAACTCAACACTGAAGGTGGTGAAAAAGCGAAGGAACCACAGCGGCAGGACGATAGAACCACGAAAGTAGACGACAGGTAAGAGCCTATAGAAGAGGCGGACTGCGGGCCCCTCCGAGAGCTTAGGGGCGGGGCCTGGGCGGGGCACCTGGGGACCTGCGGACCGTCCTGGATGGCTAGAACTGCCGCCTCTCCGGGGAAGTTAAGGAGAGGAGAGCGTGAGTGCAGGCTTTGTGGCAACCTCCGTGCGTTGCTGAGGCAGCTCCTCCTCACCTACCCTAACCCAAAGCAGGGACTGCACTCTGCTTTTCTGGAATGGCGTTCTTGTCGACACCAGGAAGGGGCCTGGCGGCGGTTCTGCACAGGGTGCCCCCACGGAGATTGGTACGACCCGTCCCCCGCCGCTGATCTGGCGGCTGCGCGCGCACCCTCCGGCGGGCGGGGAGGCCTCGTGGCGCGCTCCCCTACGCTCCCTGCTGCTCCGCGTCCCCGCGCCGCCGGGTTGCGCGCCCGCGCGCCTGGGCCTGGGCGGGGAGGCACGGCCGCAGGCGCGCGCCCCGTGACTCCGCCCCGCCCCCTCCCCGAGTCCCGGCTACGCGGCTCGGCGCAAGGAGAGCGGGGACCCGCGCCCCCGCCCCGCCCCCGCCCGGCGCGTGGAGGCCGCTCGGATCACAGCAGCCGCGGTAGCCGCCCGCGCGGGATGACCTGGGGCGGCTCTGGGAGCCGGCTGCCGCAGGAGGTCTGGGGGGTTCCGCCGGCCCGCCGAGAGGTGCGGGGTGGTCCCGCCTCGGGGTCGGGGTACGGGCGGGCGGCCGGTGGGCCCGGGTTCGCGAGGTCCCGGGGTTCAAGCGGGGTCCGGGGACGCTGGGCCGCCCCGCGGGGGCGGATGGAGAGTCAGTGACAGGGACGCGCCAGGCAGGTGGGACGAGCCTGGCAGGGAGCGGGGGGCGCCCGCACGTCCCCAGGGAGTGGGGTCCCCGCCCCTCAGCTTCCACCCGCAGGGCGCCCGCGGGACGGTGATTTATGTGGGGAGAGCAGGAGAAACGTCCTGCACAATGTATCTTTCTCTGCCGTCACAGACGCCCTGACTTCCCAGCCCCAGGGAGTGCATTTTCCTTCTTGAAGCCTTCTGTGGGTTGCATTATCATTTCTAAATGCATTGCAGCTCGCTATTTATTTCAGCCTGCAGCTTCCAGACCTTTGTTGCTTTCTCTCCACATATAGGAATTTCAGTCATAAATCACTGAGGGAGGTAGAGGGACTCTCTCGCCTTCCCTTCATTGTTCCCCTGAACCCCACCAAGTCAGGTGGAAGGCTCTCTCCAAAAGGAGCCCTTCTCCAGAATGAATGCCTGCCTTTCCTGGCCAGGACTACAGAGGGTGGCAGGTGCTTTAAGGGCAGGCTGCTTTCCAACTGAGATCTAGAATTTAGGGAACCTCATTAACAGAAAGGCAGCCTCTGTGTCCTAAATCAGATACCTTGGACTAAAAGGGAACGTGAAATTTATTCTCAGGCCAATGGCCAGTAAAGATGAAAGAGGCCAAATTTTGCTTCCATGCCCCACTGATACCATAACCCTCAGGCTCCCAACTGATTGACACTTGGCATACCTAATGGACAGTGTCTGGGTAGAGGAGGTGGGAGGGGGCTGGGGCATGAAATGGGTTTATTCTCAGTATAATTCTAAACACTTGATTACATTTTAGAGCTCATTCTATTTTTTTTTAGAGCTCATTTTTTTTGAGTAGTCCATTTTAGCCGAAAATGAAGGGGAGGTAGTTCAACTTTTAGGACAAGATGAAAGGAAACTTAAGAAAATTTGTGAAAATTTTAAATTAGTGCTTAACTAGAAAGCATACTTAAGAACCCAGAGAGGCACCAAATACTGTAGTTTCTGTTATGCACATATTGAAATAAACTGCCTCATACTTAAGTTACATGAGAAGGATGGAGAAAACCTGTTTCATTTTGTAAAGACGTGCCCTGGGTGTGTGTTTGGCAGGGTATAGAGCAGAAACATTTAGATTTCTATAAGAAACACACACTGTATATTGTTTAACTTTCATGCAAAAACTCGGATATAATATTTGGGAAATCTGTCTTTGTTTGAATAGTGTAGTCAACCAGGAAAATCAGTTACTAGAGGTACTGTGCTATTGTTTGTGTAGTAACTCACTTGGGATGCTTTGATTGATTGCTATGGTTCTCATCAACCTCCTCTCCTGTGGAAAGTACTTAAACAGCTCTACTCTCAGGCGGAGAGGTACAAAGAGCCCTTAGGACTTGGAACACACTGATCTAGCCTGTGTAAGTTGGCTCCTACATCAGCCTTTCTCCTTGCCTTCTTTGCAGGTGGTTTGACGTTGCATGAAAGGAATTAAGTGCACTTTAAGATAGGACTCCTCCCACCCCCATCCCAAGCTCAGCAAGGGTATATATATATATATATATATATATATATATATATATATATATATATATATATATATATATATATATATATGGAGGGTTTGTGTAGAAATAGGAATTTCTGTCATAGGGCTTTGCTCTAAAGAGGTCAGGTAAAATTTGTTGACTAGTTCTGGTGCTTTCACTCTGATTTTTCCACTTTTCCCTTATGCTTTCATGACTTTCTAGATGATTTTATTTATGGTTTTGTCAAAAGTTGACATAACATATTTCTTCACTAGAAGTAAACATGTAATCTAAAATTTGGTGATTGTTTCCAAGTAAAATAAAATCCCGGGGAAATAATTTCAGGAATTCAACATTATGATAGTGAAATCATGCTGGGGCTAGGAAATTAAAAATAACTAATTGACAAATTTGTTATTTATAACATGTAATTACATTAGCTGTTGCCTTGTTATTAGCATTTGTACTAAGTAGAAGTGTAGATAAGACAACACATCAGAAGAGTAGATGAGTTGCCCACCAGGTAGTCTTTAGATAGATGATGATCTTACCCCTTACTAGCAACTAATTAGATTAGAAAGAGAATTTGGAGTCTGGTTGCTAAGTAGATTGCTTTGAAGGACTTGATTTTACAGTTTTTGATTGGTGGTTTTTTTCCCACAAAATTGTGTTCACTTGGATTAAATTAGAGAATGTTTTATTGTTTTTATTTAAAATTTTATATTGTGTTTAAACATTCCATTTATTTATAAACATTTCATTTATAAATTTTTGTCGTGTATATGGTATACTAATTTACTGTCACGAGAATGGCAAGTAGGCTTTACTTGATTCTTTTCAATTAAAATTAAGTATATGGAATATACTTAATGTCGCTTTAAAAATATTGGATTACAATTCAATGAAAAACTGGTTTGTTGGTTTTCTTTTTTTAATCCTTCAAGTTTTCCCTCATTGTTTGTGTGCTTTCCCCCATTGTCGGGCTTAAAACATACAGTATCATTGTCATCTGTCTCCTGAATAATGGTCCTGAGGTGATATTATTAATGTGGCTTTTTAAAATCAAACTAATTATACTTGCCTAAAAGAGCCACATGTGTGTGATTCTAGCTGCCTGGTGCCTTTTGAGAGCCCTGGAGACAAGCTAGTGAATAGAGCTGAAAATTCATTCTGTATTTGATTAAATGGAACAGACTCGCTGCTCCTTACCCCAGCAGGGGCTATGAGATCTCTTGATCCCCGAAGCGGCTCCAAGACCCTGGGAATTCCATTAGCGAGCACCTGAGGAATTTCTGCCCTGCAGTGCCTTTTTTGTATGTGTGTATGTGTATGTGTGCAGAGGGAGTGGAGCGGAGTGGTGGGAGGAGGGCGGAGAGAGGCTACGTTAGAAGACTCCATATGTTAGCAGATCTAAAATCAAGGCATGACTTAACAGCTTATCTTGTAAAAGAAGAGCCCAACCCAAAGGCAGTTTGCTAGTCAGGACTTTCTTACAGGCAGCACTGTGGTGGTGTGTTTTTAGCACTGAAGTGTACGCCACTGTTAAGCACAGAAAGTCACTTCTTGCTTTCCCTCCGAAGCACAAGCATATACACGTTACAGACTTGGTAAGTGTGCTCTGAATGATCTTTTGATAAATATGTAAAATTGTGTTACAGTTTGGTCTTGCCTGTAAGGGCTGATGTATTGTTTCAGTAACTTTTTTAAACTGAGAGCGAAATCTGACTTTTATGTGAAGCAAATCGTTTTGCAGAAGTGAACTGCTTGTTTGAGTAGGCATATTTTAGTTTACTCTTTTGTTTTTATATGATTTTATTGTGTTTTTGTTACATTATTGTAGAATTTAAATTCATTTAGGGTATGTCTCTCTTCTGTTGTCTTTTTAAGAATTCTTCCTGATTTCTAGTATTTTTTAAGGCATTGCTTTGCATTCTTGCTAGCAGGCACAAGTAAATGAAAATATATCTACCAAAAATATTCTGTAAATATCTTTGCAGCAAAATTTTTGAGAAACATTAGTGTATCTTCCTCCCTCTACCTCTCCTCTCCTGCCTCAAATAATTTTTGGATACATTTTTCAGAATATTAGCCCAGTTTGTTTCTTGTATACTTTTCAAGGAAGAGCAGTTCTGAATCGGATGGTGTAGTTAATTGATTTTCATCTTCTGTTAAACATGAATCTGAATTCCAGTGCTTGTAGTTTTCAACCAGCGCAGAATGCAGTAGCTTATTTGATGGTTTATTTGATATTTTGTTCCTGATTAAAATCATATTGTGTATCACAGTTCTTTCCATCCTATAAAATCATGTTGTCCCCTACCAAATTCTTCTCACAATACAGCCTGTTTAGAAAATAAAGAAGCCTTTTAGAGAGTATGTTTAATTTTTTTCCACCTTAATCCTGGGCACGCCTTCTCCTAGTATGGCCAAATTGAAAGGACTCGCGAATGAATTGGAGTAAACGCTCAAGTTTGCATTGTGCGTGTCTTGGTTCACAGTTGTTCATTTGCTTTGCGGTGTGATGTATTTTGATGGCCACAGATAATAAAAAGCTACCCCAAAGAACATTTTGTTCTACGAATCAGTTGGAATGTGAGTAGAGACTTCAGTTCTTGAGAGCCAGGGATGTATCTTTTAATCATAGAATTAAGGAACGGTGAACTTCCTTACACCTTACTTGGGAGAAAAAAAAACCAACCCAAACCAGGTTATATTATTGAATTTACGTTATATTCTGCTTCTGTTCTGTTGTTTGGAACCGTGTGGTTGGTTTTATTTTTATATTAGCCTAAAACAAACGGAATTAAGAAGTTGACCTTTCGCTTGCTCCTCAGCTATTCGCGTTCCAGACTGGCCCACCTCTTTTTATTTATGTGAGCTTGGGCAGTGATCTTGACCTAAGCCTTGGTTTTCACCTCTGCAAAATGGGGATAATAACAATAGCATTTCTTACCACTGTTGTGGGGGGGGAGATTACAGGAGATAATGAAAGTAAAGCGCTTGGCATGTGGTAAGACCTCTGTGAATGTTAGCTGCTGGCATTTTTGGTAACTCCTCCTGTACATTAATATATTACTTTGACCCAGAAGTGATTTCTTTGAAGTATTAAATAGTTTGGAATTCTCAGAAGTTAGTAGTAGTGTGGGCACATGTAACTGCTGTAGTTGTAGTGTGTTACAGTTTTCTTAATTTTGCAATTGAAACTTAAAAGGCACTTGGAAACAATGTGTTGTATTTGTTTTCAGTTGAGGTGTAATATAAAAATGTACACAAGGGTACATTTAATGTACGCTAAGTGAACGGCTAGATGAAGTTTTACAAATGCGCATACGTGTGGTCACCATTACCCAGATCAAGACCTAGAATGCACCCTTCACCTCAAAAGGCCCCCTGTTGCCCCTTCCCAGACAATCCCACTATCCCCAGCAGGCAACAACTATTCTGACTATAGACTGGTTTGCACCATTGCCTCTTTTTG